CAGATTCGTCGCCATATTTATCTGTTAACTCCCCGTGTATCTGGCAGATACTTTGTTGCAGCTCATCTGTGAAGTATTGAACATTGCATACTAGTTTCTAAGCAGAGGTTCGATTTCATGTTTTCTGTATTCTAAATGCATGACAAAATGCAGTTGCAAAAAAATTAGCCAGTCCAGCAGCAGCCACTCGATCCACGATCCACGATCCCACCCGAAACAGATACTCCGAATGGAGTACAACCAGTGCACGAGTTCAGATCGAGCAGATATAATTAATTTGCGGTATTTAAAATATAATCAAGCTCTGCGAATTATCAAGCATAAACAATTAGAGATTTCTAATTTAAACGGAATTTTGTTGGGAATCCGTTCTGATCTCTGTCCTGGCCGAATACTGAACACTGTGGGATGGCGTGTTGCGTTTCATCTCCGCAATTAGCGAGTTGACAACTTGTTGACAACACACACACACACACACACGTACGTTTGCATATGGGAAGTGCATTATTTTGGAGCGAATCGCTTAATCGATTATTTTTGTGGTCGCCAAAAGGTCTATAAAAGAGGGCACAATCCCAGCTATCTAGCCAACGATACTCGCAGAACGGTTCATACCACGAACTAATATTTTCGCTGACATAATTAGGTGAATTCTGGCCCATACCTTCCAGCTCGAAACGGGCTACACTACAGTATTTTCACAGCTGGCAGCCTTTCCCAGAGGCCAGGCTTTCCCACCGCTTTTCATTTCCAATCAGTCCCGAAGCCCCACAACATCGGAAGTGTCCAAGTTTCCATTTCATTATACTATTTTGTTTCTTTTGTATTCTGTAGCAGCAGCGGGGTAGTGCGTTCCATTTTGGCATTAGAATCTGGCCCAAATACGCCCAGAAAATGGAGCTTGCCTAGCCACTGCCCAGGGAGTGAGTAGCAGAAGCGTGAGAGAGCCAAGTCTAACAGGATTAGGCCCAAACTCATAACGACGCACGACAGATCCAACTCGGATACAGATACATACGTACAAACGACAGCGAGAACGACAAAGACAATTGCAGAACATTTACGTCAGCAAGGGTTACGTTACGACTGCAGCATGGACTTTAAGGAATACCGTCAGCGGGGTAAGTCAAGCCAACTAAGTCCGGGCCATAAACTGCACAGCGGCAGCGGCAGATGTAAATCCGTTTGGGCATATTTGATTTGTCCCATGGGGGATTTGTTTTCTGTCGTTTGTCTTCATTTAATGGCCCCTAACCGAATCCGCCCCCCCTCCCCGCAATGCTTCACAGGCAAGGAGATGGTCGACTATATAGCGGACTATCTGGAGAACATACGGGATCGTCGCGTCTTCCCGGACGTCAGTCCGGGCTACATGCGCCAGCTGCTGCCGGAGTCGGCACCGATTGAGGGCGAGCCCTGGCCAAAGATATTCGACGATGTGGAGCGCATCGTCATGCCGGGCGTGACCCACTGGCAGTCGCCGCACATGCACGCCTACTTTCCGGCCCTAAACTCGATGCCCTCGCTGCTGGGCGACATGCTGGCGGATGCGATCAACTGCCTGGGCTTCACCTGGGCCAGCTCCCCGGCGTGCACCGAGCTGGAGATCATCGTGATGAATTGGCTGGGCAAGATGATCAATCTGCCGGACGACTTCCTCCACCTGAGCAGCAACAGCAAGGGCGGCGGTGTACTCCAAACGACGGCCAGCGAGGCCACGCTGGTCTGCCTGCTGGCCGGACGCACTCGGGCTATCCAGCGCTTCCACGAGCGGCATCCCGGCTACCAGGATGCGGAGATAAACGCCCGCCTGGTGGCCTACTGCTCGGACCAGGCCCACTCCAGCGTGGAGAAGGCGGCGTTGATTGGTGCGTTGGTTGTCCTGTCGCGAGCCTTACGCTCACTAAGCAGCTTAGGCTTACTTTGTTCTCTTGCTCTGTTCTCCCTGCCACCCACACAGGACTCGTGCGTATGCGGTACATCGAGGCGGATGAGGAGCTCGCGATGCGCGGCAAACTGTTGCGCGAGGCCATCGAGGATGACGTTAAGCAGGGCCTGGTCCCCTTCTGGGTAAGTTGAAGTCTGTCAAAACTAATTGGCCAGGAAAGCAGCGGCAGCTGATTCCTCCTGATTCCTCATAGCTGATTCCCTAACTCCCATTGGAGCCAATTAATACATGTCAGCAGTTAACTGTCCCCCCGTGGTTGATTCATTCCACTTTCAGGTCTGCGCCACCCTCGGCACCACCGGCAGCTGCAGCTTCGACAATCTGGAGGAGGTGGGTGCTCTCTGCGTCTCCGGACCGCTAATCTGTTTCCACTGACAACTCCCACTCGTCCTTAATTCCACCCACAGATCGGCCTTGTGTGTGGGGAGCACAACTTGTGGCTGCACGTCGACGCCGCCTACGCAGGCAGCGCGTTCATTTGTCCCGAATTCCGCACCTGGCTGCGGGGCATCGAGCGGGCGGACTCGATTGCCTTTAACCCCTCCAAGTGGCTGATGGTGCACTTCGATGCCACCGCCCTGTGGGTGCGCGACAGCACCGCCGTGCACCGCACCTTCAACGTGGAGCCGCTGTACCTGCAGCACGAGAACTCGGGCGTGGCCGTGGACTTCATGCACTGGCAGATACCCCTGAGCCGCCGCTTTCGCGCCCTGAAGGTGTGGTTCGTGCTGCGCTCGTTCGGGATCAAGGGCCTGCAGCGCCACATCCGAGAGGGCGTACGCCTGGCCCAAAAGTTCGAGGCACTCGTCCTGGCCGACCATCGCTTCGAGCTGCCGGCCAAGCGTCACCTCGGCCTGGTGGTGTTTCGCATCCGCGGCGACAACGAGATCACCGAGAAGCTGCTGAAGCGACTGAACCACCGCGGTAACCAGCACTGCATCCCCTCCTCGCTGAAGGGGCAGTACGTCATCCGCTTCACCATCACCTCGACGCACACGACCCTCGACGACATCGTCAAGGACTGGATGGAGATCCGCCAGGTGGCCTCCATGGTGCTCGAGGAGATGAACATTACCATTTCGAATCGGGTCTATCTCAAGGGTAAACGCAAGTCCTACCGCCTCAAGTAGTTGCCCAGCTCTGTTTCCGTTCCATTGCCTGCCTTTGTTCTTTTAGTTTTTTGCTAAGTTTTGAGTTAATCAGTTAATGCACTTCGATCCACCCAACATCGTTGATTTTCTTGAGAGAACTGGGGCAATACAAGGGCTTGGTGTCTGCCCCATGTATGAGGTTGTTGCTTCTCCTAATCGAGATTCTACTTTAATTGTCGATGGGTAATCGAATAGGGGTGACAGAGAGAGAGAGAGACCCTTAAACGAGTACTGAACCCCTTTCCATTGCTCTCCCGCAGACACCAAGGAGAAGAGCGAGGCCTTTGGCTCGAGCCTGCTGCTCTCGAACTCTCCGATGTCGCCCAAAGTGGTCAACGGTTCCTTTGCCGGCATATTCGATGCAGATGAGTTTCTGGCCAAGACCTATGCAGGCATTCGCATAGCGGTGAGTGCAGGCACACACCCATGGAGGCCCCGTAATACAGATACAGATCTCATCCCATCCTCGCATCTCTCGCAGCACCAGGAATCGCCATCGATGCGACGACGCGTCCGCGGCATCCTCATGTCCGGCAAGCAGTTCTCGCTGGACTCCCACATGGATGTGGTGGTGCAGACCACACTGGACGCCACCACTGGCGAGACGAACAGCACCACCGACTCGTACGGCAGGACAACGGTGCGCGAGAGCATGGCCCAGGCCGGGGGACAGGCGAGCATCCGCGAGGACAACGAGGAGTCGGCGGAAGGTATGAAGCCCAGGTAGCGTAGTCGCCAGTTAGATCTATTGCCAGTGCTCGGTAGCCATGTAGCCTCCCGCAGTAGGAGCTGATCTTGTCCCACCCACGGCTAAATCTCTTCCGAATCTCTTCCATTTCCGTGTAGACACTGAATTGCTGCAACTCTGCCGGATCAGCAGCGTCAACTCCCTCTTCCCAGTCCACAACCACGCCCACTCCCCGTCCACCTGCCCTAGCCCCTGCAGCTCCCACACGACGACACCCACGCACCAGTTTCGACCCATTTCCTTATTCCCCCTTCCCCTGCCGACCCCATCCGCAACCGCTGCCATTATGGGCCGCAGTGTCACCGTCTCCGTGGACACTCTCTTCACACCCCTGACCCACGGCGACATGTACCACGGCAAGCGGTTCCTGGAGCCCGTCAGCAGCCTCATGGACAACAGCTCCTCCTTCACCAGCAGCATCTTCCACCTGCCCACCCCCATTGCCACGCCCACCGACCTGGAGGACTTCGACTGGCCGGCCAAGACCTTCAGCCAACTTCTGTTGGAGCGCTACTCGAACGCATCCCAATCCCCCGGCGACTCCTCGACGGACAGCAGCAGCCTCAGCTACCCCAGTGCAGACGGTGGCCTGGCCACGCCCACGCCCACAGCCACACCGAGCAGCAGCCTCAACGACCTGGCCTCGCCGCTCCTCGGATCGTTTGCATCGCCCTCATCCCAGCTGATGCAATCGGCCCGAGGGGAATTGGAAGGAGACAAAGACGGAGACGACGTTGGTCCGGACTCTAGCGACTCGGAAGCGACCATCTGCTCAGGGGCATCCTCGATGGAATCACTCTAGCTGTAGTTACTAATAACTGTGTGTGTTTGTGTCTGGTGTTTGTAGTGTGTGTGTGCGTGTGTGTGTGTGTTTCTATGTGCGTGCGTTTATCTGTGGGAAGAGGGCGGGGAGACGACACCCATCGCTGCTGTGCAACCAATCAATAATGCAACCAATTGTAGTTCCAATCGCTATCAAAAATACGTAATATCAATGATAATATCTCAGCTTACTATATATATATAATTGTATGTCTACCTATTGTACGTACGTATGTACATACATGAAACACCTGAAAACCTGCTGTTAGCCATACATACGGGTATGACACTTAATGTTCTACTGATTAATTCAATAAAAACTCTGCTCCATTCGGCCTGCTTTTGTTCATTTATTTTACCTAAAGTAGCGATGGTATTTTATGCCTTTACATGGAGCTCTATATGACTGCGATTTTGGTGCTGAGGGAACTGAAAACTGTTAGCCCAAAGGAGCGTGTGGCTTGGCAGGATTTTAATATGTTTTACCACTTGCAATATGTACTCCAAATTTTGTGTTTAATTTAAAAGGATTTGGCCATGCTTCCCCTTTGTTTCCCTCTTTATTTAAACACCATTTGGGCTGTTGTGGTGCTGTTGTCATCATCGTCCATATAGTCTTCTTGGACCGGGCCTATGATGGGATCAAAGAAAACCATACCACGATTGTCAAGAGTGGGACTCGCAGTGGTGGTGGTGGTTCTGCCCACAATGACTCTCATAACGAGCTGCTGGAAGAACGTAAGCAGGAAGAGGATGATGAAGTCGTAGAAGAGGATGAGGGCGGCGAGTAGGTAGTCATTGAGACGCATCTCCGCAAATCGACCGCCATTGATTGTCTGAGCGTGGTACATCACAAACTGTGAGAAAAAGAGAACGAGAGAGTGTCTAGGGTGGAGATATACGAGTAGAAGTAGAGGTAGCTTACCAGCAGCACAACGATGCTGATGAACACCTGGTAGACAACGAACGAGTATGGAGTCTTCACCAGAATGCTGATCATAACGAACCAGACGGTGATGATGAGGAAAATGAAGGCCAAGACAAACAGTATTATGACATCCAGCGTCAGGTCATGCTGTGGTGGAAAGGATCAGTTAAGCGGAGTGAGGTTTCCTCTGTGGAAAAGTGCTTACCGGTATAATGGATCCGATTAGTATGAAGACGAACAAGAGCAGCACACAGACAAAGTACCAAACGAGCAGCTCCTGCCATTGGCTGAGTGCCGCCAGCGTGAACACTCCGATTATCACGAACTCCACCTGTAAAGGATGTGCACACAAGTCAACTACAGGATTCGGTGGCAGGATTCGCAGGTATACTCACTATCAGCAGGCACAGTAGCCAGTTCAGGCAGGTGATGGTGCGTACCCTCTCGAAGAATATGAAAATGGTGACCATGATCATCGCCAATATAAAGAAAATCAAACTGATCCAGTAGTACTTGATGAAGATGACAGTGACGTCCGCACTAAAAAGGGAAAAAAGAAGATGTAATGCCGCGCCCCCCTTAACAGGGGGTCCACCACTCACATTAAGGAGACGAGCACCCATTGGAGCAGGGCCAGCAGCAGCCAGGCCATCGTCAGCGTGTAGGATATCAAGGCGAACTTCCGCCTGTCCCGTTGGTATGCGCGCATGCTCGAAGCGCGCAGCTCCATAATCCTGGTGCTGTATGTGTCCTGCGGGAAGAAAACGTATACCCGCTCATGAGTATAGTAAGTGTAGAGAACTAATAAAATTTCTTTCCTTCAATAACGGAGAAGTCAAGGCTCACTTGATTTATAGAAAAAATAACTAAGGAGAAGCTGGGAAACAGCCGCAAGCTACACTTGACCTAGATCTTCATCTGTGATCGATTTTTGGGGCTCCGACTCTGCCGCACCCGACCATCATTTTGTTCAAGGGTATGAGATCGGTGGGGCCAGGCATATAATAATATGTCCATGGCTGTTGGACTTTACTCAGTTGGCATTCCGTTTTCTGAAATTGGTTTTTATTATTTTTTACTTAAATTTTTGATGTAAAGCGAATCAGACAACACCAGACCAACTCCAGCTATGGAGGAGACCGTAGTCGCCGACAAACAAACAAGGAAACTACTTGTCAAGACATACAAGGTGACCATCATTATGCTGATCATTGGGCAGATTCAGGTTTCGGTTTTCATGGAAATGTGAGTGGAGAGGGAGCCGCTTGGATCGGCTCGGCTCAGTTAAGACTCTACTACTGTTCCTTCAACCCGCAGAAAGCCCGTCAAGAAGTTCCTCGAGGAGCACTACTATGTCAGCCTGGTGCAGTTCTTCATCAGCTTCATATCCATCCAGTTGTATGTGTTCTTTTACCACATCATCGTGCACAAGTCCGCCTGGAAGCGCATACTGGCCGGCGTCTGGACGGTGAGTCATCTGATCGGTGCGCGGCGATCCACCCATTTGGCCAGTGGCCCAACTAACAGTCCCCCCTCGTATCGACAGTTCGAGGTGAACACCATATCCATCATGAAGCCCGCCAAGACGGCGCCGTATATTAGCTTCATCGTCTCCTTTGTGCTCACCTTCATTATCATGGCAATCAGTCTGTGCTACGGAAATTTGGCAGCTAACCATCGGCGTGGTCTCTTCGTAAGTGCTTCCTGGCAGCCGCATATCGTACTGACTCCTTACCTCACACTAGATGTCACGTCACAATGTGATCCGGTGGAGCGAACGTCTGTTTGTCCTCACCAGCTTTGGCATCATCGTGTGCTCCGAGATGAAGCGAGTCACCATCGAGTTCCCCACCCTTCTCATCTACACTATGCTGTCGAACATTGTAAGATTTACCACGCCCCGTCGCTGTCACTATTTACCGCTCTATCTTCTCCAGTTTGTGGTGATATTTGCCGCCTCGATAAGGAAAAGGAACTTCTATCACTACGAGACACCAGCAGATCACATACTCATTGGACAGCTGTATTACCTGAATTTCTATGCCCTCTACATGGGCTATGTGTGGACGACAGCTTCCGGGCTCGAGCTAATGGATTGGCATATCAGCATTCTAGATTTATTTAAATAGACGGTGCCAGCGCCATCAGTAGTGTGACAGTGGCCCGGAAACGGGAGAACAATTTCTGAATCGATGTACGCCAATCCGGAGCATGCGCCGACTATCGGAACAGCTGGGCCAACCGAAATATCGTGTCGCAGTGTTTACATCGTCCTGTCCTGGTCGCATCGCCCACAGTTGCCCTGTGTATTGCACTTGGCCCGGTTGCAATCAGAACGGCACAGAACAGAACGTATTTTGGTTCGGTTCGGTTGAGTGGTAACAGACCGAGATCTGGGTGTGCACGTGCGCGTCCAACGGCTGAAAATCAATACATATTTTCCAACTACGCGCGATTCCAACTTAAAAAGTAAATAAATAAATGGCATTCAACGTGAGAGTTTGCTGCGAATCTTCGGGTTGCTGGTGGTTTCGTAAAGTGTATGTGGCATAATGTATTTCCAATTATATGATATACAAATACATAATATACAGAGCTACAGAGCATGTTACATACACATACACCCTACGCACAGACCTCTGGCCTGTGCTGGGGGTTACAATACGTGAAAAATGTTTAATTAACATTAGGTTTTAATAATTACATTCTGGTTAAAAATATATATATGTGTAGATAGTTTTCCTTTTTTGATTTTCCTTTCGATTTAATTAACTTTTCATTTGCGCGATTTGGCCAAAGCAAAGGCGAAGGCCACACTGTCCACATGTCCATCTCCATGTCCCTGATGTGTTGGTCCATTTCTGTTTCCTATTTCCCATCTATGCTTGCTTACTGAATGGAGCACACCCTTATTGGTGGGGCACTTCCGGAACGGTCTTGGGTTCGGTAATGGACTTGGCTCCACCACCGCTGCTGCCACTGCTCTCTGGCCAGACCGATACTGAAAATAAGGGCAGAATTAGTAGATTGAACTGGCATTCCCAACATCACAAAATTCAACAAGTTATCCAATTTTTAATTGGGTCATTCTGTACAAAGGAAGAAAAACAAATACCCTATATATTTAGGCAGCTGATTGAGGAATTTGTACTAGAAAGGATCTATCAGCTGAACCATTGGCTCATAGTGCTGTTATTTAATAATAATAAATAAATGGATTGTCTCTTGTAGTGGTATATTCATATTTGATGCTGTCGAAAGTTCTTCCTTCTCTGCGATGCAGGCCTTGGTACGACTGAATAAAATTACTCTTACTCTTGAGAGCATTGTTTTGTGGAGACTTTTCAAAAGAATAAATCCCTGCCGTGTGCAGAGACTCGTACATGACCTCCACACACACACACACACACATTAAGACATGAGCTAATCTACACATTATAAACTAAACAAATATGATAGTTAACACTTGGGTGACGGGCAACAATTTACCTTTAGATTTTTGGAGTTGGCTTAGCTTAGACGATTATACATAGAATTTAATATACAATATACATGCATACATCTACACTGTACACGAGTGTGTGTGTGTATATTTAATGACATAAATGAACCTTAGCTTTGTTGTTTGGAAAACGGAATTTGATAATTTTTTTGTGTTTTGTGTTTTGATCAATTGAAAAGCGACACTGCAAGTAGAAACAAAAAGGGACAACCAGTGGTCATCAGTTAGGCTCGGCATATCATACATATCAATCAACGTGTTAGTCAGCATTGAAATATCCATTGAAAGTTGGCGGGGGGGTTATTTGCAGAGCCGCAACCACAGATTGGGAAATACAGACAGACGCGTTGCAGGGCGTTGGTAATGCAAAGCTTCAAACTAGCATCAGTCACATAAGCTAAATAGATAGATCTTAGGCCTAAGCAGTAAACCACAACCGTTGCCCGAAGCCCAAAGCCAAAAGCCCAAAAGCATAAGCTGATCAGAGAGCGGAGCTTACCTAGGACGATGATTAGCAGCACCACTGCGATCACTCCGAGAATGATCATCATCTTCATGTTGGCCCACCATTGCTTGCGCTTCAGCTTGCCGGCCTGCTGCTCGAACTGCGAGGCGCCCTGCTCCAGTTGGTCCGCTCGCTCGCCCAGCTCCGAGAGTTTCTGGTCCCGCTCCAGCACTTTCTCCACGTTGACGCGCATTATGCCCACCACTTCGTCCACTTTGGCCTGTGTCTGCTGCAGGCGCTTGTTGGCGGCGGCATTGTTGTTGCTATTGTGCGGGTTCGTATCGGCGAAGTTGTTGTTGTTGAAGGCGTTTGGCGGTGGTGGGAGTATGGGAAAACTGTACAATATTATGCGTGTGGTGGGAGATGCTTACGTATACACAGAAAAATCATCCAGCCGGCACCGCACAAATGCAAGTCAGTTCGTTGAGGGCTTCTACTACCCCCCGCATATGGGAGCCATGCACACAACCTTACATATCAATTAATCAGTGACCAGTGACGTCACATCAATGGCTACCTTGCCCTTTGCGTACTTTGCCTTGCATTTGTGCGACGTTGTCTGTAGATGCCGTGAACTTCAATCTGAGGGCCCACTTACTCGTTTGCATTGGAGCCAGATGGTGAGGGGGCTTCGTTGTTCTCCATTGTGGAAATTCTGTTAAAAACATAACAAAGATATATAAGTTAAAATGCAATTTCCAACACATGCCCACAAGCTCACACACACATACACACACCAGCATACGCACAAAGATTGCGAGTAAATTCGCTCTATAAAAAAACAAATTTGGAGCACTAGCACACACACCTTATCTCCCGAATGAATAGCCGCTGCTTGTTGGCATATGAATCATTCCAGTTCCACGGCCGCAGCTAGGCGAAAAAATGCCATCACCCCCCGCACAAACGAAAGAAAGAACTTGTTGCATGCCCTACGCACTGTTCGCTCTGCGCTACACTACTCCCACCCGCCCAATCACAGACACACGTACCTGACAATGTTACTGAAGAATACTGCTTTGTATGCACAGAAGTTAGTTTTCTCTTGCTATTTGTTTAGATTCTGATTCCTTTGAGTTTTCAAATATTTAAAATATTAAATTTGATGTGATGATGACAGCCAGTGTGACCGCGCGCGTTTCGATAAAATATACCAAACGACCTTCAGAAATATACCGTAATATACCTTCTCCTTATCAAACTATACCGTAAATATACTGACTGACTGACACGACAAGATGCCTTGATATTCCTCAATTTTGACGTAACGTCATCGTTGTTGCTGACGTCACCAGTCTCGTGTAATTCGTAATTGCGGGCTGCCACCATGATATTTTACAACCCGTTTCAATACCGACTCGCTTGGAACCGATCTGGCAGCCCTAAAAAAAATTCCGCAAAAACGAAGAAGAAGAAAAACCTCTGCGTAAAATTTTTCCGCGGTATTTTTTGTGCGCTAAATGGAGTTTGGCGGGTCATTTTGAAAAGTACCCTCAGTAATATACCGAAATATATCTTGTCATTACCGTAAATATGCCAAGGCATATCATATTTATCAATTTTGATATTCGATTCAATATTTCTGGCCTATTTTATGGACTCCCATTTAATCAAAAAAGCTTAGCAAATGTGTCTAACAATGAAACACAAAACAGAACCATATAAAATAGAACTATCCAAACCTAATTTAAAATGGGCGCCAACAACAAGACTTCGATAAATTTGAACTCAGTGCTGTGAGTCGTAGCTTTTGTGAATTTATGCAACACTGTCTAGGCGGCAGTGTGTACACACCGCTGCCAAGTGATATTCATAAACGGTCTTTTAAAATTGTCTTTGCAGCCACAATAACTAAATGGGAATAACTATGGAAAATGCATAGCTCGCTCGCCTCCCGGTTGGTAGTGCGTCTCCTGCTGCTGTTCGTCCTGGTCAGCGTCGTGTCCATTGTGATACTGACCAAATGCGGCTTTGAGGAGCTCACGGCTCAGGAGGCGCTGCATCATCATCCCAGCGAGGCCAACGGCCCCAGCTATGTCCTGGGCGGGGACCAGGAGGCGGAGATTGAGCGACTGAAGCATGAGGTGCTTACCCTGCGCGCTCAGATCGTCATCCTTCAGAACAATCGGAGTGGCCACAGCGGCGTGGCCTCGAATGGCAGCAGCCTCCACCTGCCGGAGACAACTGTGGGGACGGCCTTGCCGCCCCTGTCCCACCACTACGACTGCAGCAGCTACATCCGGAAGCAGGTAGGCGCCGCCGAGATCCTGCACGGGCTGCCCCTGAACAACGAGTACGAGCTGATTCCGTTCAACCACTTCACCTTCACCCGCGTATTCCCCATCGACCTGGGCCTGGGCAAGCGGGTGGTGGAGAAGCCCATTGGCTATCGGCGGCGTGACCTCATTGGGGCGGTCAACAAGGCGCTGGAAAGCCTCAACCGCAATCACTCGGCCCGAGTGCGCGCCAAGGCTGCGGGAGTGCCAGTGGCAGTGGCGGGAGTTGGAACGATAGCAGGCGGCGGCGGAGCTGCGCAGGATGTGATCAAGTACACGCTGGACGACTTCATCGAGGGCATATACCGCACCGAGCCCACGACGGGCACCCAGTACGAGCTGTACTTCCAGAGCGTCAAGCATCAGACGAGTCCTGTGCGCAGGGCGCTGGTTATGCGCCCGTTCGCCCCCCTGCAGACGGTGCAGTTGTCGGAGACTCCGGCCAGCCGCAGCCCCAGCTCCAATCCGGCCGTAATCCATGTGATAGTGCCGCTGGCCGGGCGCCTGCACAGCTTTCGCAGTTTCCTGCAGATGTTCGCCAGTCTCGCGGATCGGCATCTGGAGCTGATCGTGGTCTACTTCGGGGAGAGTGGACTGGCGCAGGCCAGGCGGATGGCCGAGTTGTCGGAGAGGACGCAGTTCCTCGCTCTGAACGAGACCTTCAGCAGGGGTAAGTAACGGGGATTCCCCAAGCCATTCGCTCACTCATTCAAGCGAGTTTTGTCCCATCTTTCAGCCAAGGCGCTGAGGCTGGGGGCAGAGCACATTGTCTCGCCATCGCCATCGGAGGATGTGCTGCTCTTCATGTGCGACGTGGACATCATGTTCACGGCCAGGTTCCTGGAACGCTGTCGCTGGAATGCCGCGCCCGGCAAGAAGGTAGGTCCACAATGGAAGTACCCCAAGACCATCTTTAATGATCTCCCCTCCGCGCTCAGGTGTACTATCCGGTGGTCTTCAGCCTGTACAACCCGCACGTGGTGTACACGCTGCAGGGCAAGCCGCTGCCCAGCGACGAGGAGCAGCTGGTCATCTCCAAGGACACGGGCTTCTGGAGGGACTTTGGCTATGGGATGACCTGCCAGTACCGCTCGAACTTCCTGCAGATACGCGGCTTCGACGAGGAGGAGATCGTCGGCTGGGGCGGCGAGGATGTGATGCTCTACCGCAAGTACATTCGGTCCAAGATCAAGATCATCCGGGCCACCGATCCGGGCATCTTTCACCGCTGGCACACCAAGGTAACCTCTCACCCTCCCTCCTCTCTAGCGATGTTCTAACCTGTTTTCTACCTTCACATTCTTGCCAGGTGTGTGCCAGCTCGCTAACTGCGGATCAGTATCGCGCCTGCATTCGTTCGCGGGCGCTGAACGAGGCCTCGCACGCCCAGCTCGGCTTCCTGGCCTTCCGGGATGACATAGCCGCCGCCAATGCGGCCAAGCTGCACTCGTGATACATCTACATTTTTCAAGCGATTTCCCTAGCCCTGGGCCTGATCAATCTGTGGCCTACACTCTGAAACACTCTCTAATATCCCATATTTGAAGGGATATAAATCCACGAGTTGTATCGTCTGTTGCTGCTCATCCAGCATAAGTACTTATGGGCTCGAGAATGCTTCCTTCTCTGCGTGTCCCTAATTAATTATTTTCAGAGTGTAGGCAGACAGACGCACACATGAATACAAAATACATACGTAAAACTGGAGACAATAACTCGTATTTAGCGGAATCGTTGACTTAGCTTAATTGTTGATCTTGTTGCGCCCTCGAGAGTGCCACACACACACACACACCACACACACACACACACACAACAAACAACACACCACACACAAACACACATCACAAATTGTTCTTCCATGAAGCAAATTAGATGCAATCCCCAAAGCAAAGCCCAAGATATTTACCATATCGAATCTGTAACTCATGTGCTATGTATGTACTTCAAACTGAGCCTAACAAATCTGACAGAGTGCTGCGCGCTTTGTAAAAACTAAATTAAATCGTTTAATTAAACTTGTCGCCTGGTTGTTGCGTGGCTTTTTTATTTCGGCTGGTCGTTCGCTCCATGGCTGGGGATGGTGTGTCGAAGCCAACGACCTCCACTTGGGGTTCAGTGAGCACGCATATGGAAGAAGGTGATCTAGCACCTGCCCTCTTCTCCTCTTTACTCTGGCTTCGCGTAGGAGCTGGGGATCTTTATGGCACTCTAGCGTAAAGTTAAATTTGTATATTTTGATGGAATTGCGATATCCGGCACCGGAAACATGGTATCCGTACAATTATTGTCATCCGTAGTTGTCCTTTACATATGTACTAAGAAACTATCAAAGTACTATCATTGATTGCAATGTCTCAAAAACAATCCAAAGACTCTGTTTGCAGGCCATCTATTCACTATATTGGACGATTGAATGATACTAAAAGTTATTTATAATCATGAATGCATTTGTGGCCTCAGGAGGCCTCCCAAATGTGTCACTTTTTAATTAAAGATTATTTGTAAATCTTTTCCAAAACGATCAAAAAATGTTTGAACTGAGGGAGGGAATCTTATCAAACTTTACTTTATGCATAAAGGATAAACTGAAACTACTTTTCTATCGTATCAAATAAGAGTCACAGAGCATACACCATTCATCATATCTGCCGACCAAATTTCTCTACTCTGGACTGGATGTCTTCATCTGGAAAGCCTTTTCACGGTCACGGTCGTGGGTTATGTAAGCGCCGAGGAGTGTTTTTTGTGTGTGTTTGTTCAACTTGTTCGGAATCCGAAATGCAAATCCCAGCTGGAAGTCTCTGAGTCAACGCCTTAGAAGTCGTGATGATCGAAATAATCTGCGATAATTTCACAGGAGTGTTCGTTCTCTGGGGGTGAGTATTACGCAATAGTAGACGCATAATTAGCCCGGGTTTTTTGGACAAATAATTAAGGCGCTTTTTCGGCACATCCTCCCTGTCATTCTCCGAAAGCCAAACTGACCATGAAATGGCCAGAGAATGCCAGATGGGACTGGACACACACACCCCACTGCCAAGGTGTTGGGCAGGTGAAGTGACAAATCGACGCCCCTGCGGAGATTCCAAGTGCCAACACCTTTGCCGCGAATGCCAGCGAACCACAGCCATCAGCAGCGCATCGCATCGCACCGCCTCGCCTCGCGGTTCAGTGCTCTCGGCTGGGCAGAAGCAGAACCCATCTCGGGCTGGGGCTTGTACTCGGGGCGGAGTTCAGATAAATACGGCGGCGGTCGCTCTAGCCAGATCATTCGCGGTCCGACGCCAGTTCGAGAAACTCTGACTCGTTTTGAAAGGTTAAAAATAAAAAGTGTTGCAAGGATATTTTCGGGTTCCTCATTCCGTGTGCCCCATCAATCTGCAGAGGCACAACACGTGCCTGGTGCAACATTTCTGATTAAGTCGTTGGAACGGAGAACAAACTAAAGTGCGGACAACATGCGTGCTATTGGATTGGTGAGTGCGAATGTCAGGGGATTTATTTGTTAAGGCAATTATTGACATGAAAGCGAAGCTTTAGAAATCAGAATTGACTACATCTAAGTATTTTCGACAGCCATTTTATTATGGATATTTCTCTCGAATTTAATATCTCATATATCATATATCAAACTTTCTTCATTAATTAATCTTTGCATATTTTGTTGCGGATTAAATGCAACTTTTAGAAATCCTATTTAAATGGGGATCAAATAGGCACCGAAAATGCTTTAAATTTACAATGTGTCGTTAATGGAGTCCAAACATGATTTTAAATAGTATTTGCAATCTTCTTAGTTGCCAAAATATATCCAAAAGTAATCTGTTTTATCGAGCTGAGATACCCAGTCCATAGTCCAGTTTCTTATGCAGAAAGTATGACTTCGCCAGTCATGATAAGTCCCACCCAGGAATAATATTATATTGCAGAAGGGACATTACATTACCCATCATTATAATTCTTTCCTGAAAATTCACTGTTCATTTGAAGACAAAGCCTTCTCTTGTATCTAATATCTAATCCAAAATATTGGTTATGCAATGTTCTATAGAATACAGATTATGCAATAACCAAAACATGACGATCATGTTATGTAATTTGCAACCCCGAAAACACATTCCATTTTGGGATGGCAACGACCCCTGATCGGTGTAACAATTTCCCATATTCATATACACTTTGGATTCCATTCGAAATATAATTATTCTAATGAAGTTGGCCAGAGCCAGTGACAAGTCAGATTGGCCATAGCCATAGCCAAAGCCCAAAAGCCAAAAGCAGCTACAGCCACCGGAAGTTGTTCCTGATGCTTGGCTAACAAAGCGTGGCGGCGGGGACGGGCCAACAAAACACTGTTCATGATTACCTCTCTTGGTTGGCCAGTTTGGGCTTACCATTACCATTATACCAGTTGGGGTTTCGGCCATTTGGGTATTTGGCCAGGCGAGCGTTATGATTCCGATTCGAATCTACTAAGGCTGTGTCTGTATCTGTGTCTGTGTCTGTGTCCAGTCCAGAATCTGATTCATGCAGCCATGAGTGGCTCTCAGAAATGATGTCAATGCTATTTGGGCGATCATGCTGCGGCGAATCAGTTGGAGCGGAATTCGGCTAAGCCAAAATCTGAAATCCGTTGCATAATCGAGGGGTGCTGATCATATTTCACGCCGACTGCCCCCGCAGTGTTGTCGTCCATTTTGAATGGCAATGGGCGGTGGGGCTGGAGCTAGAGATGGAGCTGTGGCTGTGGCTGGGCCCGCAGGCCTTTGTACTCTCGTCAATTATGATCGGAGGCTGCTGCTGCTGGGGGGCTCCGCATTGGCCCAGTTATCCGCTGAACCGCGAAATATGTATTGGCTGGTTGCCTCCGGGTACGGGGGTGGGAGGCCCATTGCAATAGGAGCAATTAAAACCAATCAACTAATGATCGCTACCACAATGTGTTTCAGATGCTCTGCCTGCTGGCGCTGCTCATCTGCGCCCGCGCCCGTGCAGCTGTGACAGGACCCGAGGCCCGGTCAGGTGTCAGCCCCGCTCAGAATGGCCAGAATCAGCAGGTGGCCACGGCTGGCGTGGGGGTCCTGGACTCGGTGCTGCGGGGCAAGAGCCGCCAGTCACGCTGCGTGCGCTGCTACGAGGATCGGGATCGGGATCGCTACTACGGCGGATACTCCAGTCGAACGGGCGATGATCAGCGCACCAGTGCCTGGTATTACTCGGGCTACGACGACCGCAGCAGCACCAGAGATCGGGACTATGACAGAACCTACGATCGCAGCCGCTACGACGATCGGTACATGCCGCGCACCTACGATCGCTACGAGGGACGGGGGGGCGGCGGCTACGACGACTACAGACGTGGCGGCAGCTCTGGCTATGGCTCAAGCTCTGGGTATGGTTCAAGCTCGGGCTCCTATCCGGATCGGGAGCGGGAGCGCGGCTACAGCGGCTACGGCTACGGCTACGAAAATCGGGATCGCTACTATCCAGAACGCTACAGCGATAGCTCCTCCAGAGGTTATTTTTGATCAGCCCACGATATCCAGCATCAATCATTCCAACTCGTACTTCTTGTACTTCTCTCCCCAGATCGCTACTACGACCGTTCGCGTTCCAGCTATGACCGCTACGACCCGTATGATCGGTACTACTCCAGGTATGATTTTCGCAACTATCGTCCCTGGGATGAGACCTACAGGTATCGCTAAACTGTTTCTATCTGTATCTGTGTATATATATATATGTATGCTCCTATTGCTATGTGTATTCCACTCCTGCCCTATCTCTCCTTCTGCCTTTTTGTGTGCGTGTTGTCAAAGATGTTTCCATTTCTAATCTCTACTTTCATACAAAAAACTACAACTACAACAAACTCAACACCATTACAACATGAACACCAACAACAACAACAACATCTACAACAACCAAACACACAACACCACGAACAACAACAACAACACTGTGGAAACTCTGGATGATCCTCGCCCGGGAACCAATCCAAACTGCACCCCCAAATGCACCCAATCCACCTTTCCGCCTAAACTGCACAACCCGCCTCCTCCAACCCGACTCGAAATCCGATCACGCCAATCCATCCCACCCGATTACACGACGATCACCCGATCAGGGGCCAGTCGGGCTTCGACAACTCGGGACGTGGCTATTACTTTGCCAGTGATGAGGATGACAGTCGCACCCGCGACTATGGCAATGATAATGGCAACGGCTACGCCTACAGTCGGCCCCCTCCATCGCTCGCCTCGCCCTGCGGCCGCTTGCCCGGAAATTGCCCCTACGCCGGAGGCTCCAAGGTCTCCTCCTCGGCCATAGGCAGCGACAGCTCCCGCGGTGGCGGGACACACCAGTGTCGTGGGATCGGAGGTGGCTGGCGGCAAGCCCAATGGCCAGGGCAGTTGGACCTATCTGGGGGACCAGGACAAATCCGGCGGCAGCAGCAGCAGCAGCAGCGTAGGGGGCAATGGAGGAGGCAACAGTGGCTCGTCGGGTAGCAATGGCCTGAGCAGCGGGGGGAGCAGTCGGGATCGAGAACGGGAACGGGATCGGGACCGCGATGCACAGAGGTAAGTTGCAGTGGGTGCTGCCCCTCGCCGGCTCCTGCAACTCCTGTCCTCAGCTCCAGCCCCCCAGCACTCGTCGCAGCCAGGAATCGGTCAAAGCATTAAGTTAGGCTTGCTCTCTTGTCGCCCCTTGTAGCTCTTCCTATGGTGGCCGACCGCGTCCTCTAGGCGTCAGCTATCTGCTCGAACGCGACTCGGACAATCCCGCAGACGCCTCCTCGGATGGCCCAAGCAACCCGGCGCATACTGCCGGCGGTGGTGGTGGAATTAATGGTGAGGGAATGCCCAAACCCGCGGCCCAGACGGCCACCGAGGGCAATCCCAGCAAGGCGCTGGACAATGCAGTGCAGTAACTCCGTTGGCGGAACCGACACCGATCCTGCCACGCAGCGAGCGGCCTGGTGGCTCCGGTTGGGAATGGCAGCGCAAAGTGTAACCTACCTTTCGTATTTATGTGTACTTCGTAAGTCTCCAAAGAAACTATTTATGTGTGGCACCACGCTTTGCTCAAATAAACAATCTTCAAAGATCCTCAAGGATTCAGAGTTTCCCTGGGATTGAGGGGGAATGAAACTGCATATTTTTCAGGTTTAAAGTACAGTTTGCTTTATTGTTTATGTTTTAAATTCTTAACTATGACCCATACGGATACTTTTAGCTCAAAAACTGTATATTCTCTTCTTGAGAGTCCCTGAGCAAATTATCAAAAAATCAAACAAACACAAAAATAATATAGACGGAAATGAAATATTCGAAACATGAAAAACCACAAGAAAAACCCAAAAAAAAAAAATAATACGATAAATCACCGAAAACAAAATTAGATGTGTAACAACAAATAACAAAATGAAACAAAATAAAAAACTTAGAAAAACCATTTGAAAAATATATAAATATAATAATATAATATATGAAAATATAAAAAAAGATCAATTAAACTAAATATTTTACTAATCAAATTATTCTAAGATATAATAGTTTAAAGTAAGGATAAATATAAAATATCAATAAAAAAAATAATACCAAAAAATTTAACAATCAACAGACCAAAAAAAAAAAACAAAATAAGGAAAATAATAACGAAGTAAATATAGTTGTAATTTGTAATCAAGTGGAAAATAAACGAAATAATAAAATTAATAGAATTAATGAAAATTCAAATAAAATAAACAAATATTATACAAAAATTAAATAAAAGTTAAAATGAAAAAATTCAACAAAAAAAAGTAATGAGAAATATTTAATTATTTAAAATATGACGAATAATAAATCAAGAAAAGTAACAAAAAATGCTTCTTACAGCTTGACAAAAATGGATGTCAAATATGACAAAAATAGTGTTTCAAATGTGTAAAAAAATATTAATAAATTAATAAATTTAATTAACGAAAACAAAATCAAATAATCAATAAAATAAAACAATTAAAAAAAAAACAACGTAATATGTATATATAAAAGAAATAATATACATTAGAATGGAGAAATGCAAATTAAGAAATAAATAGTAAAAATAATAGAACAACAAAAACCAATAATAATAATAAAATATTACAAAATTGAGAAGCTTAAAAAATAATAATACCTCATGTCAAATTATATATCATGAAACAAACCCAGATGTAAAATTATTAAATAATAGCAATAATATTGAAAAGAATTTTAAAACAAAAATATGAATTAAATTAAATTAAATGGAATTAAATATAAGAAAAATCAAAATAAAAAACTTACCGGAACCAAAATGATGAGGAACCAACATTATTCCAACAACAAAAATTTTAAACTTTAAGAAAAACTTAATAAAAATAAAACAAAAGAAAATTTATGACGATTCAAAATTCATAAAAGAAATAAATAAATAAATTATATATTCAACGGAAAACAATTGAAAAAATCATGAAATCGAAACTTACCGAAAATAAAAGAGGAAAAAGGAAACTAAATGAAAAGTAAAACCAGCTCGGGAAACTTAGGGATATCTGAATGTTCTTAAATAAATATTTATGCAACAAAAACACGCTTTGCTATTGGCAATACACATCGAAGAAACTTTCCTGATAGCCAGTCTCCTAATTCCTATCTTAAGTGAAAGCTGTCATCGAGGGTATTGTTAGACCAACAAATTTATAGCTTTCAAAAATGTATAACGAAAACATCAACAAAAATTAAAAGAAATTCAAAATAAAAAAGGCACAAAATATGATCAACAGAAAATGGTCAACTTAAGTCATAGTTATGGAAGAGTATTTGGATAACTTCTGTATGGATAGTATTATGGATGGATATCCAATGAATGAAAGGCCTGCGGATCTATTGCTAATTTATCGAAATTCGGAGATGCTGCTGATTGATGAAAAACTGAGCAATCGTTTAGGTGAAGTATTATTTTCCGATGGGGGAACAATAACTTGTTTTGAATGCTTGGAAGAGTTTTCTTTGTTTGAGGAACTTAAGAAATTAATTCCGGTTTTGAGAATGGAATTGATCCTAGAACGTGAGTGGTTATGGCTTACATTTTTCTCAAAATGTTGCTATTATTTGCTGCACGAACTTCTTTGATTCCGTGATTCAGCTTGATTGTGTGCACTTCACTTCTTAAATGGAGCAGCACACATTCCCACATTTTCTGAATGTTCTGCATCGTGAATATGTCGAGGCTTTTGCTGCTAGAGGCTTTGTTGAATTGTTGAAATTGCCATTGCAACTGACAACTTGTTGAGTTTGAGCAATATGTCTTTATCGGTCTAAGCTTCCGGGTTTGTCGGTCAGTCTGGATGTGGGATTTGAACTATTTTGAAGATCCTGTGGAAGCTGAAACAGGATTTTGTGAGCTGTGGAACAAACGTTGTCACTCTCCTCGTACTTACATTTTCTAGCGCTGAATTGGGAAAATTTTAAAAACACTTTTATCGGTTGACTTTCACTGTAATTAATTGACGTTAATCAAGTTGAGCGAGCACTTGGCCTTGGCTGGGCCACCGCTCCGCACAAGGCGGTGGCGGCTTGGCTTGTGGAGAGCTTCGATCCTCTGTGTTTACTCGGCGGCACTTCCAACTGAACTGTGCCGTAATGCAGATCGGGCCTGGCTATTTATAGGCTGCAGAAAAATCCACCACCAAAAACTCACAATTGAAAATACTTTCGCATGACGCAGGCGTGCCACCAGAGCTGTGCAGAGGGGGAATGTCGGGCACTGGGAACTGAGCCAGGAACCGGGTGCGTGCCGTTGGGCCATAACAATGACAATACGAGGGTTTGCTTCAAGAAATGAATGAATTGAATTGGAAATGTTTATTTCATTTTTATGCTGGTATCGCTCTGCTTCTCGATTCTCGAATCTTGGCTCCTGGCACTTGGTGGTGGAGGGTTCAGCTTAGGGTTAGGTCACCCCCAGTTTTTGTGCGTCTGTGCCCTATGGGAACCGAACCGAACTGAGCACAACTGAAGAACTGATCTACTGCTACCAGTTGAGTGCATAGTAATTAGTCAAGATTTTGCTATTTCTCTGGCAATCTTGTTCAGTTTCTCACGCTCAGGGGGTTCTTTCGCTCCTTTAGAATGTTGTTCGCCCAAGGGTTCGCCCAAGAAATGATAACAAAACAGTTAGCTATGGTCGGTGGAGGGGGGTTTAGCGGTAGGGGTTGGTTTTCTGCTCTGCGTCAGTTTGCCAGCTACTGGTGGGCCCACCAACAGTTATGCTGGTTGCATTTAATTCCATTCAGGACTCTTGTGGGATCATCAATTGAACATGATTTGGCTACTGCCAGAATGCGGGTCAGGGATAGGGATGCGCCAAAAAAAACGTTCAGCTGCAGCTGCCCATCTCCCCGAACTCAATCCAACTCCTTGGCTGGTCTTTGCATGGCGGATCACAACATAAATAATTAAAATACGGATTGGTCTCTAAATATATTACCAACATTCAGATAGTAACATTTGGGAATGTACCGAGTTTTAAATTTCATTTGGCAGCATTTAATTCGAGCTAAAGTTTAAAGAATTCTTGAAGAACTTCTTGAATAATGTATTAATTAAAATAAGTCCCATTTTCCATTCCCATTTCACACTTGATCAAGATTTGTAAGAGCCTGAGTCTGGGCCACTCAACGTGAAACCATCTTAGATACATTTCCAGGGTAACTGCCTGCCGTTTCGCTCTGGGTGTGCCCTCTGTCAGATATTTCAGATTGTGCACCAGTTTTTATTTTCAGTACCTGGCCACACACCTCTCCATTCCTATCAAATGTGTGATAACACTTTTTTTTTTCAATGAGCTGATAATGCCATGCCCTCAGAGTCGGGCACCCGCGCACTCGCATGCACACGCACTTCAGTAGTCACATCGGATTGTCCGCCAGTTAAAGTCATGCCGTTTCTCTAGGGAAAATGCCTCGATTTTCCCACTGGCTGCGGCCCAGACTAGCGCATTTCCCGTTTCTTGTGTTCTTCGTCTATCTATTCCTTATCTTTGGCTACAGACATTTGCAGGTAAGTCAAATTAAGTGAAGTGAGTGAACTGCATTCAAGGGGCACTCAATTAGTAGGCGAACACAATTACAACTCGGGACGGGACTCATTTGAGTGTTTAATGCTTTGAATAATTAATATTTCGCTATATGAAGAGTGAACTGAGAGGCAAATCTTGACTAATTTGTTGTTTTGGCGTGGAAATTGATGGCACAAACGTGCACAGTGGGTCGATTGTATTATCTCCTTGACTCACCCATTCTAATTGCCTGTGCCGATCATTTCCGATAGCTTAAAGTATCTGAATTCGACTAAAATGATAGGAGTGTTAACATATGAACAATAGAATAGAAACATTTACAGCCATATATATGTATTTATAATTATTAGACAGAAGGGGAAATGTTTGAGGCAACCTCTATGCAGAGTAAATTCCAAAGTAAATCCAAATAAATTACGGTTTAGTAAACAGAAGAAAGAAAGTGGCCAGTTCAACCTAGACGAGTATTTTCTATTGCATTGCCCCACTGTGCGCAGTATCTGTCGAGCATCAAGTGGTCAGCGACCGGCCAACTTTCGATTCCCCTTTCAATTTGGAAGACAAATGTATTTAATGTGGAAATCATACGCAGACATGTGTATGTATATATGTACATACATATATACATGTGAAATTATATACATATGTATGTATGTATAATTAAAATGTTTTTATTTTCCATAATAAAAAATGTGGAAGACGTTTTTATTTACTTAAAAATAGACGGGAAAGGCGGCGCTGACTCACACAGAGAGGAGAGGCAGAGTTTCCCAGGGACACTCGAATCCAATCCAATCCAATCGAGAGACACACACACACACACACACAATCTATTAAGTCGCGCCCTCCTACCCCCTGTCATGGCGCATGGAGTACCCTTACAAGGCTCTCCTCTCCACTCCCACACGCACCCCACTAGTTGGGGCAGGCCACGCCACTCTGTCGCTCTGTCGATGTGCCTCAGCTGCTGCTCTCTGCTACAGCGCTGCTTTGCTCTGCTCTGCGACTCTGATGACAGCGTCCATGGAGGACAGAGGCGCCAGTTTGATGCGAGGCGTGCGTTGATTAACTTGTTGCATGCGCGTCCTGGAGCAAAGGCACCCGAGCCAGCCACCAGCCACCACCCACCCTTCTTCCATTCCCC